TAATTAATGTATTTTTGAATAGTACGATAAAGGGATAGGATTTGATCACTTGGTACTGGTAGTAGAGTTTTGGGTTTATTTGTTAAATAGGCACTTTTTTTAACTTAATTCGCCAAATAGACAGTACACTATTTACAATTAAAAAAAATAATCACCTTTTTACTATTACACTATTTATAATTAGTAAAATAGGGAGTTTTCATTATTTATGGTGTACATGTCTATGTTGTACACACTGTTCATGGTGTACACACTGTTCATGGTGTACGTACTGTTCACGATGCATACACTGTTCACGACGCATACACTATTCACGGCACATATACTGTTCACCATGCATACACTGTTCACGGCGCATACACTGTTCACGGCGCATACACTGTTCACGACGCATACACTGTTCACGATGCATACACTGTTCATGACGCATTGGTGTACATACTGTTCACGGTTTATGGTATACACAGTATTCATGGTGTACACTGTTCACGATTCATGGTGTACATACTGTTCACAGGTCACAGTATGAACAGTATAAACGCATAAATAGTGTACACCATGAATAGTGTGTACACCATAAACCGTGAATAGTATGTACACCAATGCGTCATGAACAGTGTTTTCCCATGAACAGTGTAATGCATGAATAGTGTCCACAGTGGATGCGTCATGAACAGTGTATGCGTCGTGAACAGTATATGCATACACTGTTCATGACGCATCCACTGTGGACACTAAACGTTTATGCGTTTATACTGTTCATGGTGGATACACTGTTTATGCGTTTATACTGTTCATGGTGGATACACTGTTCACGGTTGATGGTGTACACACTATTCATGGTGTACACTGTTCAGCATTCATTGTGTACATACTGTTCACACAGGTCACACTATTCACATTAGATACATTGTTCACGCATGTATACTGTTCACGATGCATACATTGTTTATGCGTTTATACTGTTCATGGTGGACACAGTGTTCACGGCTCATGGTGTACACACTATTCACGATGTACACTGTTCAGCATTCATGGTGTACACAGTGTTCATGAGTCATACTATTCACCTTGGATACACTGTTCACGGGTGTATACTGTTTACGACGCATACACTGTTTATGCGGTTATACTGTTCACGGTCGACATACTGTTCACTGTTGATGGTGTATATACTGTTCACGGTTCGTGGTGTATACACTATTCAAAAACAGTGTGTACACCATGAATAGTATATACACCATCTACCATGAACAGTATGTATATCATGTACCATGAATAGTGCATTAAATTGATGTGTATTAGTGTAATAGTGAAGTGCCTAACTTTTTAAAATAGTGAAGTGTCTATTTTGACAATTATAAATAGTGAACTGTTTATTTGGCAAATTATATAAGTTAAAAGTGTTGGCCAATTTTTCCTAGAGTGTTTGGGATAGATTAATACTATTTATTTGCAATGATTTCGTTGGATGCAATAACCAATGCTCTCACTCATTACTAGGCTTATGTGAAAGTTTTCGTAAATATCAACTTGTGCTGACATCATCCATTTTTATATTAAGAATTTTGTATCAATACTAACTTTATTGTTAATAGTAAAACTGAATTTCTAAACATAGTACTAACACACTAAACACAAAAAACAAATTATGGAAAAAATGCGAGAAAGTTATATAACATACAAAAAAAAAATGTTATTTGAAAATGTTATTTTTGTTTTTTTAAATGTTGTTTTATATTTTTAATATTAAATTTTGAAATTAAAAGCAGATATTTATTTAGTATAAATTAATAAAGGAAATAGTTAGAACTTTTAATATATTTTGTAATAAAGCGAAAAAAATAAGTATTAAATTATACCTTTCTGCGTATTCACTAAACGTTTTACGTCCAAATCTCATACTACTTTTTTTACACTTTATCG